CTCTCCAAAACAAACAGATCTGAAGATTTAAACCTGCTAAAAACACTGAATAAGCAGTTTCATGTTACTAATCAATTTTTCTCTTACACTGTTTGGTTCTTCAGAGACAGGCCACTAGCCCAGCACCTGCTAATCTATGCTCCCCTTTTTTCTCTTATAACTTAAGATCCAGATGCTCAGGAGGTTTTTAGCGGGAGCCGAACTATCCGCAGAGGTCTCTTCCTCTCCAAAACAAATGGACCTGTCGATTTAAACCAGTAAAAACACTGAATAAAGCAGTTTCAAGTTCAAAAATCACTCTAGATGCAGAGGGGCTGAACGATGTGAAACACAAATGGCCCTTTTTAGAGCCAGTACTTGGTTTGTCAATTCTACTGTAGAAACATGGCAATGCAACATGGCGGACTCTGTGGTCGAGGACGTGCTCCCTGTGTAGACACAAACAGTTCATTCTAAAGTAACAAAAACACAACTATTCCTATTTTACCACAAAGTCCCATTGAGACCAAATATCCCCTTTACAAAAGAGACCTGGCCAAAATCCTGCAGACTGTAGGCTACCTTTAACTGATAATGGATACATCATTAGGCCATACTGACACAGACAAGAATTTATATTATGGTTACATACATGCTAATTAAAACAGTTTTAAACAGCAATACAGCATGTTTAACAAAAACAATGATCTGTGACATATAAAGCTGGAGCCAAGAGATGGTTAGCGTTAGCATAAAGACTGGAAAAAGCTAGCCTGATGAGATGGACTTGAGGAAGTCAGAAATAGTTATGCACATAATCATATTCCCTCAAATCTCTTGTAAAATCAATACAAAACAAGAATTAGTGAGTTTTAGTGGTGCTGGTAGGTGGATTTTGTTACCTTTGGAAAGAACCAGGCTAGCTGTATCCCCCTGCTTCCAGTCTGTATGCTAAGCTACGCTAACCGCCTGCTGGTCTTAGCTGCATATTTATCATGCAGAGTCATATAACAGAGGTATCATTTGATTCATCTAGCCTAACTCTCAGCAACAAAGCAAATAAAGAAGATAGTTTCTGAAATTGAGGTATGATTTTGTTTGTTTTATTTAGAAAGGGACGGAGCACATTAATTAACCATGCTCACTTAAATCACGTAAATGTGCCAGATTTAGCCATACAGGCTCATTTTCATCTGCAGTCCCTGGTAGGTTGATAGTATATATGTGTATACAAGAAAAAGACAAAGACATTAAAATAACATACAATAGCGCAGAAACAAATTAGCAGAGATAAAAGCAGATTGATGGCATGTCCATAGAAGGGCACATACGCACAGAGCAAACATATAACCATCGACAGAAGCACATGGCAAGGCACATACGCAAAAACAACAAGACATAAGCACTAATAATAAAACAATGACATAACCATATAACCACAAACATTAAGAATGTACTATATATAAAACACACAGAGCACATCGCCACAAACAAACACACAAAAGCACAAAGCAAAGCACATAAGCAAGGACAGCAGCACACAAAGCTGCAGGTTTTATAACTCCTAGTTTAATATTATATTTTCTGTATTTATAAAATGTCGTTAGCTGACCTGGCAGAAGGCACCTTTTGAAGGAAAAGTGGAAACTGTAATTGGGGGAGATTTATCTGCAGGTAGCCATGAAGGTATTAAAACTTCAGCTCAGGAAAAGACGTTAATTGGAAGTTGAGAATTAGGATTTTTCAAACAGTTAATAAGAAGCTTCAAAGCAGGTTTGTGTTGGATGAAGTGTGGAATGACAGGAGACCGTTCCTAATTGTCCAGTGGAGGCTAGAGAATAAGGAAAATTTAACTTCTTCTGTGTATTCTGTGAATACCTAAAGATATAAACAGTGCAGGCCAAATATACATTTTACACAAATATTTAATGGTTGTTAGAAAACAGAACAAAATTTAATGATAAGGTGAATAATGTACTTTGTTGTTAACTCAGCGCTCAATGTCACTGATTGTTCAAAAATAGTCATGCCTTATCTCCATCCTCAAAGAGTAAATAGAAAATAAACTGCAAGCTTTGAAAGATAGGGCGATATTTAAACTTTCTGACAGAGCTCTCTTTGTTTTAAACTAGTGCTTTAAATAAAAGAAAAATACTTGTGAGAGGCGAGATGGAGAGGAGACTCAGGCCACTTCCTCCTCTCACCCCATTCCCTGTGAACCCTCGTCTAATGGCTATTTAATTCATAGTACTAACGGATTATCAAAGCCATTTAAATTAGTCATTATGGAGAGGATAGATTGTGAGACAGCCATGGGAGGTGGGTCACGTTAACTAAAAGGCCTGGAGGAAAGATGGGGAAGGCATGCAAATGAAATATAAAAGAGGATGATTTTTCTTCTCTCCCCGTAGATTCCACGGGTTCTACTTATGATTTAATCTGCTATAAAGCTGAGCCCACTGTGGGAAGCCCTCGGGGAGGAGCCTCGCTCGTACACTTTTACCAGAAATAATGTTACAAATTCAAGAGAATCTTAAGAGAAAGAGCAGAGACAAAAGAAGACGTGTGTGTCAGAGAACAAAGCTGGGGAGAGAAAGACGGAGGAGCAAGGCGATGGGCATAATATACAGACGGCACAGAAGCCAATAAAATATAGATCTTAAACATCACATTGAAGTGAAGTGAAGGGGTGACCTTGTAGCCAGAGACTGCCATTTATGAAAAGCTCAGAAAAAGCAAAAGGAGAAGCAAATGCAGTTATGTTGGACTGTATTTATTTATTTAATGTCAGCCGGCATTACCCTTCCTGCTCTGTCTCTCATTCTCTACATTGTTTTGCAAGGAGGCGAGACTGTTTCCAGACTCTGTAAAACTGTCACTGTCACTGTGAGAGAAAAACTACTTTCCCATCTGGTTTTGAAAGTATCAGTGTAAGCAGAATCTGAATTTTGCCATCCAGGTTTTTGTTAAAGGTCCAGTGTTTAGGATTCAGGGAGATATACTGGCAGAAATGGAATATGACAATAATAATAATATGTTGGATTTATATAGCGCATTTCAGGATACTTAAAGATGCTTTACAGAGACCAACAACCAACAGCAACCACAAAAAAATTCCATAGGGAGGTAGGGAGGGAAATAGCCCAGAGAGGGTGAAGTACACTGAATTTAGAGGTTGTAGGCAGCTTTGAAAAGGTGTTTTGAGAGTTTCTTTGAAGGTGGAGAGCGAGAAGGAGTCTCTGATGTCTTTAGGGAGGGAGTTCCAGAGGGTGGGAGCAGCAATGGAAATGGCCCTGTCCTCCCAGGTGCGGTGGAGGTTGGCATCAGCAAACCTAAGAGTGCGGGAGGGAGTGAGCTCAGGCAGGTAGAGGGGAGCCAGGTTGTGGAGAGATTTGTAAGTGATGATGACTGGTTTGAAGTGGATATGCTGGGGGATAAGAGGGGCCAGTGGAGGTTATGAAGGATGGGGGTGATGTGGTCACGGGTGCGGGAGTGTGCGAGAAGACGAGCAGCTGAGTTCTGGATACACTGTAGTTTCTGGAGTGTGTGACTGTTGCAGTAGTCTAGTCTGGAAGTGATGAATGCGTGGATGAGAGTCTCTGCAGCTGAAAAGGAGAGTGATGGACAGAGGTGGGCGATGTTTCTGGAATGGAAGAAGGCTGTTTTGGTGATGTGTTGGTCAAAGGAGAGGGTTTGATCGAAGATGACATCAAGGTTACGGACACTGGGGGGAGGAGAGCACAGTGAGTTATGGGTGGATTTGATATGAGATGTGGGACCGATGATGATGATTAAGTTTGAGGAAGTTGGTATGCAGCCAGGATTTTATTTCAGTGATGCAGTGGGTGAGGATAGAGAGAGTGGCAGGAGTGATGGCTTCAGTGGAGATGTGGAGCTGAATGTTGGCCGTGAAGCAGTGAAACTAAACTCCATGATGGGGGATTATGTTTTCTTTAGCGTATAATCACCTATCACCTATAAGAATCATTGTATTTTCGTTACCCCAGAACAGGGGTGTCAAACATATGACCCATGGGCCAGAACCAGCCTGCCAAAGGGTCCAATCTGGTCCACTAGATGACAAGACTAAGGGATACCAGGTTTCAGGAGCAAGTTAAACAATGCGTTGCCTACTTCATGTAAAATTATATTTCAGTGTCTTTTCCACCCTGACCAGAATACAGTTGTCAGATACAACAATGAATACTTATTGTGATCATGTTTACAGATATTGAACATTGTGCAAAATATTGTCAATCAGAGGTTTCAGTTCCAGAGAATCTGTATCTGGAAATGTGTGGATAAATGCACATGTAATGAGAGTGAGAAGCAGACTGGCTGAATGTGGAAAAACTGAGACATACTGCTGAAATTGCAGTTATTTTTCTTGAGACATCTCAGGCTGTTCATCTGTTTTGTAAAAGGATGAGCGTGTATAGAATGTATTGTGATTCTTTGCACAGAAAAAGGGAAAATATTGGAGCTGAAGGTGCTTACAGGTTATTGTGCAATGGTATTATTGGTCTGGCCCATTTGAGATCAAATTGGGCTGTATGTGGCCCATGAGCTGAAATGAGTTTGACATGCCTGCCTCAGAACAAGGGTTTATATCTACATAGGGAGGCTGTTTGTTTTGGGGAGGAGGAGACCATTAAGAACAACTCGTCTACTGGTAAAACACCTCTTGAATGTCTTGATCTTAAGTTATCAGAGGAAAAAGTTGAGCACACATTAGCATGTGGTGGGCGAGCCACCTGTCTCCGAGATGCAAAACAGCGTCTGAGAAGCTTGTGATTGTTTATCTTCATGTTTGTGTGTCCACTTCCTGTTTTATTTTGAAATGTGTTCTCATTGTGTTTAGTGTTTCTTTTACTTCCTGAATTTTTGTTTATTACCTCATGTGTCACCTGTGTCTTGTTCCACTCACCTGTGTGCAGTTAGTAATCAGCCCTTGTGTATTTAAAGCCCAGTGTTTCCCCAATTCAGTTGCCAGATTGTGTGTTCATGCTTTCCAGCCTTTTTCTCGTGTTTGATTCCTTGGTTTTTGACTCTGCTTGGATTTATGAACATTGCTCTCTGCGTGATTTCCCTGAATGGACTTTTCTGCCTTCACTGACTGCCTTCACGTGTTTGACCCCTGACCTCGTAAGTAAAGATTTTGATTTTGTTTTGTGTTTTTCTCGGCAACTGAGTCCCAGTTTTGTACTAGATCGTTACAAAACTGTTTTATTCGATGTTTTAAATGATAGGTCTGTTTGTTCTGGAGAGGAGGAGACCAGTAAAAACCTCCTGAATGCGTGTTATGGTCGAGCCGCCTGTCTCCGACATGCCAAACAGCATTGGAGAAACACTATTTTGTAACATGAGACTGCTTTATTCAACTTCTTAACAGTTTTATTAACCTGGGCTGTTTGTTTTGGAGAGAAAGAAACCTCTTCAGTTAATTCAGATCCTGCTAAAAACCTCCTAAACAATGACCACTAAAGGAATTCAAACCTGGAGAAGTTTCAGATGGTTGCAATCTGCAATCCTTACAGCCATATGTCACTTAATCCCCTTAAATCTTACACACTGGACCTATAAAGGAACAATTCAGCGTTTAATAAAAAGGCTCATTTGCTTTCTTGCAGAGACTCTCATATCTAAGTAGTATCAACCATCTCATCTCACTCCACTGATTAAGAATATAAGCACTTTCAAAAATGTCAAACTATCCATTTAATTAAACATTCAAATGCTTCCTGATTTTAACCATGGTGTCTTATCTGCACACTGAGGTCAGGTCAATGTAGTCATATCTCTTTTGAACGACACACGGCTACAAGAAAACAAGCAGTAATTTGTTTGTTTACTGGTAGTGTGCAGTATGTCACATCCCTGCAAGCTGAGAGGAAAATGCTTTCATTATTAAACAAAGCCCTAAGACGCTGAACATTTGTGTTAGCAGTAATTAATGCACTTTCCTTCAGGGTAAACAGTTTAATTAATAAATAAACAGAAAACAGCTGAAGGGTTCAGTGCTCCTGATGCAAGGTGAGTGGTCGGAGCAGATTTACAAGTCTTCCTGTAAAGCTCGAACGAGAAAAACTGATGGAAGAGGCTTGCGCTTTTATATGAGCGGTATTCCCTAAATCCACATCTCACGTTAAAGTTTCATGTATCTGTCACTTTCAAAGTGGTATTGCGGAGTCAGAGCAAATTGAACATTCATCCTGAGGGGTTATAAATATCACATCAAAGAATCTGATCTTTTTTATTGAGAAAATGTACACTGCCAACTGACAAAGGCATCAATTCTCCCCTGATGGACTTGGGCTCATGGATTTATGATTTAAAAATGAGCTTTCATATGAAACCTGGCAGTCAGGTGTTTCCCCTGAAACCACCCGCTGAGTTGACATGAAGAGAAAAATAAGAGCCAACCTGCTCCGCTCTGCTTTTTCTATTTGCTTTTTTCCCCCTCGTTGCTTCCTCTATTCATTAATTCCTCTGCCTCATATTGCATGTGACATTTATTCTTTGATGCTGCAACAAATGGATGTTGAAGTACGACTTTGATATGACAATATGTCACAGCTCATTGGCTGAGCTTTGAATCACCGCGGCTAGTGATCCAAGGTTAAATGTTCAATCAGACTCTAGACCTTCACCTTGTCTTGTCCTTGTACAGAAATAATTACTCCACTGCGCCCCCAGTTTCTCATGATAGACCGTTCCAATCAATCACCTGGATTACCTTCGTACACCAATCACATCTTCAAATAATGAGACTAAGATCCATCGGTAAATGAATGTGTCACATCACTCAGACGGGATGGGGATCATCTTTGCCCTGGTGGACAAATAACTGTCCACGTCTTATCCATCACTCCACTTTCATCGACAGACTTGTTGGACACATGACCTTTCCATCCAAAGTAGGTGACCAAGCCATAATAATTACTTTCTGAAATAAGTTTTAATAATCTTAAAGTGATTATTTATTATACATGATTCTTTTAAATGTATTATTTATTGGTCATAAGGGATGGTCGGTGTGTGCATTGAGCAAATGAGTGTTGTGAGCAGAATACTGGATTTAACCCCTACAGAGGCAAGCGTCTGGAGGATAATATGTCCCAATCTACCAGTGAAGACAGCAAACAACTGAATTAAAACTAGGTGCTGTTGGTGGTTGAGGTGGTGAAGATGAGATGAGAAGAGGATGTGGAAAAGATGGAGAAGTGCTGATGATACAGATGAGTAGAGGAGTCTCCGTTCATCTCCTGGATTCTGGATACGATGGCTGGAGGTAAACGGGGTGGAAGAGGGCACGACGATTCTGCCTAAAGTAACAGCTCACAGCAGCAGAGGAGAGAGCAGATTTAAAATATTGCAGTAGCATCCTGATTGGCTGATAGAGATCGTAGCGAAGTTTGATTGGATAACTAGAAGAGTGAAGCCCATTGACAGTCGTTTAGAGGAAGCAGTGGGAGTGGGAGAAATGTGAATGGATGAGCACAAAGAAAGTCTTCCTGACTGAACTTACGCTGAGCTTCATTTACTGTAAGTCCTGGGTATGAATATTCAAAGCTATGAGTTTATGGCCTATAGAGTGCTTCGGGAATGAATCCTAAAATCGGGAAATGAGTTGGCACTTTTGCACTTTGGGTCCTTCATCTCAAAATCAATAAGTTATTTTAAATGGGTTTTTGGTTAGATGCCTGAAACAAGATCTGTGGTTAACATAAGCTTAAAAGATTTACATGTTTTCTTATGACCTAAAAAACCCAGTAATTTGTTACACTACTTGTTATGCTACTTTCCCATTACTCCCCATAAAATTGGTAATTGTGTATCTCCCCAAAATTCAGATGTGTGCCTCTGTTTAATGTCTAGCTGAGGCTAGATAGCTTCTATTTACCTGGGGGGGTTTCTGTTGCCTGTGACCGGTATTTTCCCAAGGCTCTGCCTGAAAGACAGAGTCACATTTCATCCCCAACATATCCAGCCACAAGTTTCATGACTTCTTTGTAGTAGCTGTCCAAGATTAAAATCTAGTTTTGGTTGTTAAGCTAGTGTAGGGCTACAGCTTACCTCCACGGCTGAGGAGAGTTCACCTTTGGTGAGGTGTATTTCCTTGTTGTGTGGTCGATCCTAGTAGCCGAGTATTTCAGACCGGAGGTTTGAAGACATGTTTTTTGCAGTGGAAAGAGTTTTAGTCCAACTACCTGCAGCAACAGTCCAAGTCTGCTGCTGTTGTATTTCAAGTCAGTAGTGATGTGATAACAAAAGTAACGTTGCAACGCGTTGTTTGGTTTTGGAGTAACTGTAATATTATTACTGAAATTTAATTGGTAATTAGTGACACTACTCATCACTGGAAAAAGTAATATCATTACTACTGCCCAACACTGGTGGTCGGCGACATTACACTTCATCAAGCTAAACACAAACACTTTTGCTGCCTTCCATGTACGTCAGAAGTTGGAACTGGGATAGATGTTGCACCTAAATTGACTGCGTTTCAGTCCAACAAGCTGGAAAACCAAGATGTTGTTTGCAATCTGCTTTAGACAGGTTAGCCATTGTTAGCAGTACCAGTTGATATAATTGCATTATGCTGCATTTTGTGCATACAAACACTGTGGCAACATGTCTATGGATAAAAATTAAACAGCTCTATGTGTGACACACAATAAGACAGACGTGCTAATAAACAGCATATTACTGCAGATTTCACTACTGTTAAAGTGCTGAGCAGCCATCTTGGATTAAAGACACTAACAAGCTCTGTAGAGTCACAGTTTAGAGTCGCATGTTAATTATCTGTGGATTCATCACTACAAGCAACCCCTTTACAGTTTAAACACATTAAACCATAGTTGGCTATTTTTTCCATGCATGCACTTGTCCAACTGATTCCAGCACTATAATACTGAAGGCTGCTTTTGACTGCAATGTTTTGGCTGCAGGGCCTTTCCAGAGATGAAAGCTTGTGCTACTGACCTTGTGTGACCATTAGGGGCTGGTGCTGGAGCCCACTTACAGTAAGTTCTGTATGGGGAGGGGGAATCGATAAAGAAATACAGTGCTGTTATTGCTCTTTGCTCCGAGATCATCACTGACCTTTTAGGCTTCCTGATATTTAGGAACTGCAACTTGTCTGGTGAACACAAACATCCTGTTAAAAACAGAAAATGCCAAGGTGTCTCTTTAAGCATCACCTTTTCTCCAGACTGAGGTGTTTATTCATCCATCCATGGAAACAAGACCAAAACAAACATCTGTTCAGTGCAGTAGGTTTTGTTTTGGACTCTGATTTTGGGGTATTCCCTGTGTTATGTATTTTTCAGCTGCAGCTCCTGTGCATGTCGGAACAGGTAAGCTAACACTGCCATCACGAGAGGAGCACCTGATTTTGTCTTCTAGGATCTCGAGTGAAATTATGCATGCAAGTTCTGGCACTTTGAACATGTTTGAGCAATTTTCATTTTTGTCAGGGAGTTGTTTACATCCAGATCTGACGACATCTGGAGTTTTGATGAGGAAAAAAATCTTTTGTTTGCATGCTCAGATTTCTGCTCAGAGTATTGGACAGGTGTTTCTAAGGAACCAGTCTGTTCTGCTTATTGGCCACGCTGTGCACACACACGTGTAAGTCCCTGATGGTTGTCCTCAGGCCTGGTGAATCTCACATAGAGCAGACAGTAATGAGAAAAAGGATAACTGTGTTCCATCAACAGCTGAGCCCTGCAGCTCCTGTCAGCATTAAATGCACATATATAGCCGCTGGCCATGCAGTTGCTAAGGAAGTGTCGGTATCCAAGCAGGAGTTGGCAGGGAAACATCCCCAAAGTTGATTCAAGAGATTGGATGCCGCTGGAGTTGATTTCGAGCTGCATCCATATTTCATTTATGTATAGTAGCTCTCTGAAGGGAAAGAGGAAAATTACCTGGGCATCTGTAAAAAGGCTGCGGTGTAAAGTGTAGCAGGTCCAAAATAAACTCTGGGAACGTCATTATCGGCTTGTGGACATGAAAAAACAACGTTAGTGGTGGGACAGGACAGTAGTGAGAGTTATGGCTCTGAAAGCTCCAGGCTCAGACTGTATTAACAGGTTTCTACATTAATCTTGGGTCTGCAGGGCCTCCAGCAGGCCAGA